GTTTACGGGTTAAAGACACAGCCTCATCAATACGGCCACTTGATACTGGAGTTCCGCAGGGAAGTGTCCTTGGACCCTTGCTCTTCCTCATTTACATCAATGATCTTCCAAACATATCCCAACACCTGAAACCGATTCTCTTTGCCGACGACACGACTTATGTCATCTCCCACCCTAATCTTGCCACCCTCAACACCATTGTTAACGAGGAGCTGCTCAAAATATCGACTTGGATGACAGCCAATAAACTTACACTTAACACTGGCAAAACCTACTATATTATGTTTGGTAGCATAGCAGGTGTTGCGCAACTGGTAAGATCGACAACACTAATTGTCCAGACATAATGATGCAAATTCCTTGGCCTAGTACTCACAACAACCATAAATTTCAGCACCCATATCAACACATAACAAAAAAAATTATAAACGTGGGGATCCTCTCCAAGATACGATACTACGTACCGCAAACTGCCCTTCTCACACTATACCATTCACTTATATATCCATACCTCACCTATGCTATCTGTGCTTGGAGTTCAACTGCAGCAACACACCTAAAGCCAATAATAACCCAACAAAAAGCCGCAGTAAGAATAATCACTAAATCCCATCCCTGGCAACACCCCCCCCTCCCACTCTTCATAGTATCTAAGCTTACTCCCTTCTTTTTGATTATAATAATAATAAACTTACTCCCTGTTCAGAACATCCACACCTACTACTGTGCAATCTATATCTACAGGACCTTAAATTCCTATATTAACCTTGACCTAGAAACGCTTCTTGATAAGTTGTGACAGTATTCCAACAGGCATAACACCAACACAAACCTCTCTATGACATTCCCCGAGTTGACTAAACCTTGTACAAAAATTCATTGTATTTCAAAGGACCTAAATTACTGGAACCCCCTACCTGAAAACGCTAGAACTGCAGACACATTCTCACTTTCCAAAACTACAGTTAGAAAAACAACATATCTCCCTGATCCCCACCCCCACAACAAACTACATTATATCCACACTGGTGGTTTACAATTATCACTCACTCACTCCCACTGACTATAAACCCAGAAATACTAATCTTAATCTTAAAATAAAAAATCCTTAACTAGTCATAAGTTTGCCTATGATACTCCAATTATAGACACCCTGTGTTTGTGGCCAAAACAAAGGCATACACATTGCAAAACTCACAAATTATGATAAGTCACCTTAGAGCCTTAATACCAAATCTGTAAGAATTTAAATGTAAGAATTAATCTCAGTCTGCTCGAAATGCCTAGCCATGGTTTTAGGTGACCCTAGTAGCCCCCTCTGTAATTAGTATTTTATAACATGTAAACCACACAATACCCAAAACCTGTAAACCCCACATTGTAACCCTTATAGAGAATAAACTTGAATTGAATTGAATTGAATGAATTGAATTAATCTTGGTGCCCAATGGCCTGGTGGCTGAAGCTCTCGCTTCATATGGCAAGGGTCTGGGTTTGATTCCCAGCGAAGGTAGAAACACTGGGCAAATGTTTCCTTACACTGTTTTGTCTAATGTTTCTCCTATCAGCGCTGTATAGCCCTTGTGGCTTAGCGCTTCTTTTTGATAATAATAATATGTTCCCTATCAGTAAAATGGGTACCTGGGTGTTAGTTGACTGGTGTGGGTCGCATCCTGGGACAAAACTGACCTAATTTGCCCAAAATGCTCTGCATAACAAGCAGTTTTCCATATAGTAGTATGTCACTGATGTCAGCTATAGTCTATATACCTTGTACTTATAGAAATAAAGGTATATTATTATTATTGGTAACAAAACTCAGTATTATGAAGGAAAATTATTTCTGGCAACTCTTATAAACAAGACTTTATTGAAAAGTCACTCATAAGTGCTGGAACATACATTTACAAATGACTCAGATCTATATCTAGAGATCAGATATATTAATATTATGCACACACACTTGGGCAGGAGTCAAGTCTAGACTCATACAAGTAGCTGAGTACAGACATACAGAGACAGACACATGCACACTTGTGAATCACCACTGATGAGCAATGTGTGAAAATATTAAGACTAATCTTAATAATTTTTAGATGATTACCCAATGAATTTTCACTTTATTCAGGAGTACAGGTGAATAGCTATATTTTATTAAATGCTTATTGCAAGTTCATCACATTTCAGTGTTATTTTTTATTTTATTATCACACCGGCCGATTCCCACCAAGGCAGGGTGGCCCGAAAAAGAAAAACTTTCACCATCATTCACTCCATCACTGTCTTGCCAGAAGGGTGCTTTACACTACAGTTTTTAAACTGCAACATTAACACCCCTCCTTCAGAGTGCAGGCACTGTACTTCCCATCTCCAGGACTCAAGTCCGGCCTGCCGGTTTCCCTGAATCCCTTCATAAATGTTACTTTGCTCACACTCCAACAGCACGTCAAGTATTAAAAACCATTTGTCTCCATTCACTCCTATCAAACACGCTCACGAGCATGCCTGCTGGAAGTCCAAGCCCCTCGCACACAAAACCTCCTTTACCCCCTCCCTCCAACCCTTCCTAGGCCGACCCCTACCCCGCCTTCCTTCCACTACAGACTGATACACTCTTGAAGTCATTCTGTTTCGCTCCATTCTCTCTACATGTCCGAACCACCTCAACAACCCTTCCTCAGCCCTCTGGACAACAGTTTTGGTAATCCCGCACCTCCTCCTAACTTCCAAACTACGAATTCCCCTGCATTATATTCACACCACACATTGCCCTCAGACATGACATCTCCACTGCCTCCAGCCTTCTCCTCGCTGCAACATTCATCACCCACGCTTCACACCCATATAAGAGCGTTGGTAAAACTATACTCTCATACATTCCCCTCTTTGCCTCCAAGGACAAAGTTCCTTGTCTCCACAGACTCCTAAGTGCACCACTCACTCTTTTTCCCTCATCAATTCTAGATTCACCTCATCTTTCATAGACCCATTTCCGCTGGACACGTCCACTCCCAAATATCTGAATACGTTCACCTCCTCCATACTCTCTCCCTCCAATCTGATATTCAATCTTTCATCACCTAATCTTTTTGTTATCCTCATAACCCTTTACCTTCCTGTATTCACCTTTAATTTTCTTCTTTGCACACCCTACCAAATTCATCCCCAAATCTCTGCAACTTCTCTTCAGAATCCCCCAAGGCACATGTCATCAGAAAAAGAGCACTGTGAAACTCCACTTTGTGTTTGATTCTTTATTTTTTAACTCCACGCCTCTTGCCAAGCCCTCGCATTTACTTCTTTTAAAAACCCCATCTAAAATATATTAAAAAACCCACGGTGACATCACACATCCTTGTCAAAGGGCCCCTACTTTTACGGGGAAAAATTTCCCCTTCCTACATACTTACTGAGCCCACATCCTCGTAAAAACTCTTCACTGCTTTCAGTAACCTACCTCCTACACCATAACTTGCAAATTGCCAATTCCCCCCCCTATCCACCCGTCTACCTTTTCCAAATCCATAAATGCCACAAAACCTTTTTACCATCTAAATACTGTTCACTTATAGTTTACGTAAACACCGGGCCACACCCCCCACCTTTCCAAAACCTCCTTGTTCATCTGCTATCCTATTCTCCGTCTTACTCTTAATTCTTCTTTTTAAACTTACCATACACTTTACCGGGGTACATCAACAATTACCCCCCAAAATTTTTTCACCTTTTTTTATCCCCTTTGCCTTTATAAAAAGGGAACTATGCATGCTCTCTCCCAAATCCCAGGTACCTTCCCCTTCCTACATTTTTTAAAAATTGCACCAACCCTCCAAAATATATCCCCACCTGCTTTTAACTTTCTATTTTTTCCCATAAAACCCCGGCTCCCTTCCCCCCCTTTCATTTTCCCTACTGCCTCACAAATTCCCCCCACCTCACAACGGCTCTTCCTCACTCCTACAAGATTTTATTCCTCCTTCCCCTTACACAAAAAATCCGCTTCCCTATTTTTCATCAACTTTTAACAATTCCTCAAAATTTCCTCCTCTTCCCAATCCCCTTTAACTCTCCATTTAATAACGCCCCCTCCTATTTTTTAACTCAAATCCATTTGCTCAGGCTTTTTTAAATTTTTAACTCACTCCAAAACTTTTTTTTTTTTCAACAAAAATTTTTGATAAAATCTCACCCACTCTCTCATTTGCTTCTTTTTTCATTGCTTCACCACTCTCTTAAATTCTCTCTTTTTCTCCAATAACCCTTCCCTCTTGCTCACTTCTACTTTGTAAAAAATTCTCATATGCTAACTTTTTTTTCCCCCTTTTAAAATCTTTTACATATCATTTTTCCACCAAACGTCCTCTTCCCCCCTGCACCCCTTTCCGTAACCACAAACTTCTGCGAACACTCTAAAAATACATTTTTAACCTACCCATACCCTTCGACCCCATTTCCTATGCTCTCATTACCCATCTACCTCCAATAGCTGTTTATATCTTACCCCCAAATGCCTCCTCTTTGTTTTATAAAATTCACCCCTCTTCCCTGATGCTTTTATTCTCCTTTTATCCCATCTACCTTTTTCTCTCATGTAGCTACAACTGAAATGATCTGATTATCGTGGGCCCCTCTATAAACATGTACATCCTAAGTCTACTCAACAGTCTTTTATCTACCAATACATAATCCAAAAAAACTACTTCATTTCATGTTAATACCAAATATAAAATCTAAATTCTTCACAAATATATGTGGGAATTTGGGTGATGACAATTCTATTTTCCCAAATATATCTGTGGTATTTTTTATAAACAAATCCCCCCAAAATACTTTCTAAAAAATTTAACAATATTGTAATAGGGAGTTTTAGACAATTTTTCATTTTGTAAGTCTTTTTCTAGATCTACTTTTTAGGGAAAAAAAATTTTCTAAAATTTAAAAAAAAATCTCACTTTTTTTACATTTCTATATTGTATTGAGAACCCTATTGTCTTTTCCACGGGCTTTCTTTTTAAGCCGCTTCAGCATCATCATTGGTTGGCACTTTAATGGACACCACATCCTTTAGACATATTGCTCATGCTGAAGAGGCCTCGCTCACCTGAAGAAAATGGTAAAAATGGTTATTTACAATTGTCTTTCAACTGTGTTCCTAACCATACAGCTACATTTCTACATGAATGAAATCAGAAAACACCATCACTTTCTTCCGCACTGTCCTTTTAGGACAGCGATATCATGATTCAGTGATCACCCACCAAACTGCAACGTCTCCACTTGACACATGTAGTGCAATCGTTATACTTCCCATCTTCAAAGCTCTAAATCCAGGTACTTAAAAAGACAACACACCTCCACTCCAAAGTATACCTGATGGCTGTTCAAATCTGTACTTCATACCTCCTCCACACCCACCTTTCAAATCTTCCACTGGATATACCCTACATCTCCCATATATTCCAGACACATACACAGCTTCAGTCAGTCCAATTCCTCCACATTTTCTCAACAACAATTCTTCCACCCTTTAGGAATACTTTCGTAGCACAACTGAAGCTGTGGTTGAGAAACCCTTCAGACCTCTCCCAGCCTCACCATCATCATCCACTGGAGGGTAGTGCAGATAGATACACTCGGTTATGCATCTGATCCTTCATTTGGTACATTCACATTGATATGGCCTCCTCTTTTACCTGAAAAAGGTAAAATGAATGTAAACCATATGTCATACCATGAAAAATACATCACATATGATTTTCCTTCATTTACTAGATGCAGTGGAAAACCTGGTCCTGGTTAGACAATGGAGGCTCATGTACTGAGCGAGCCATATCATGACCAAGCCGCACATCAGAAGACACTGTGCTGTATCCTAATGAACAAACCACCATCCATACACTACATATTACATATAAATGTAAAAATAATTGAGCTTAAAGAAATATAATTCATAGTAAATGAGAAACACTTGCTTTGAATCATATCACTAGAGTTTTATGCATATTATCTCGAACTGTAGGACTCACATTGGCTTTGCACTTTTCTAATAAATATATCTTATTAAATGCTTATTTCAAGTTCATCACATTTCAGTGTTGCATACCAAATATAAAATCTAAATTCTTCACAAATATATGTACAACTTTTGGGATGATGACAGTTCTATTTCCAAGTATACTGTGGACATATTGTGTATTTTTATACGTAGGTACTTCTAAACTGTTGTATTCTGGGCACCTCTGAAAAAACAGTGATTATGTGTGAGTGAGGTGAAAGTGTTGAATGATGAAAGTATTTTCTTTCTTTTTGGGTCACCCTACCTTGGTGGGAGATGGCTGACTTGTTGGAGGAAAAAAAAACAAAATTCTCCAGTATATGTTGCCACATGTTTTTTGTAGTATTTATAAATAATATGGTCCAACCCTGGCATAGGAAGCCATACACTTGTGTCTATATGGACACAGGGGTCATCCCATACTCACTAAAAATAACAGACATAGCCCCACTCTACAAAGTTGGCAATAAAACAATTGCAAAAACAACACCAAAAGCACTAACATCCCATATCATAAAAATATCTGAAAGGGTTCTAAGAAGCAAGATCGCCAACCACTTATATGCCTATCAATTGCGCAACACAGAAATAGAGTAGGTCACTCCTGCCTGTCCCAGCTACTGGACCACTATAACAAGGTCCTGGATACTGTAGAGGATAAACAAAATACAGATGTTGTATACACAGACTTTGCAAAAGCTTTTGACAAGTGTGACCATGGTGTAATAGCACACAAAATACATGACAAAGGAATAACAGGAAAAGTTGGTAGATGGATCTATAACTTCCTGACAAAGAGGCAGCTACGGTGAAAAGCTCTGTTCCACAAAGCATAGTGAACATCAAAATGGTATACAATACCGACAGGTTGGTAGGTAAGACACATAGGCAACAGTTAGGCAACTTTATTTTGAAACGTTTCGCCTACACAGTAGGCTTCTTCAGTCGAATACAGAAAGAAGGCAGGAACAGTAGAGATGTGAAGACGATGTAATCAGTTCATCACCCTTGAAGTCGTAGAATTTGAGGTTGTCAGTCCCTCAGCCTGGAGAAGTTCAGTTCCATAGTTCCTGACTATGGAACTGAACTTCTCCAGGCTGAGGGACTGACAACCTCAAATTCTACGACTTCAAGGGTGATGAACTGATTACATCGTCTTCACATCTCTACTGTTCCTGCCTTCTTTCTGTATTCTACTGAAGAAGCCTACTGTGTAGGCGAAACGTTTCGAAATAAAGTTGCCTAACTGTTGCCTATGTGTCTTACCTACCAACCCACAAAGCATAGTACTTGCTCCCATTCTATTCCTCAATATCTGACAGAGATGTAAGCCATAGCTCCAAATCTTCCTTTGCGAATGACACCCAGATTGCCACCATGACAGTGACCTCCATCGAAGACACTGCAAGACTCCAAGAAGATATCGACCAAATCTTCAAATGGGCCATTCAAAACAATATGAAATTGAATGAAGAGAAATTTCAACTACTCAGATATGGAAAACTTGAAGAAATTAAAACTATCAGGGTATTCGACAAATTCTAACCATACAATAGTGAAAAAGTAATGTGGACAACCTGGGAGTGATAATGTCAGAGGATCTCTCTTTCAAAGACCACAACAATGTATCTACCACATCTGCTAGGAAAATGATAGGATGGATATAGAGAACCTTTGCAAAAGCCTTTGACAAGTGTGACCATGGCGTAAGAGCGCACAAAATGCGTGCTAAAGGAATAACAGGAAAAGTTGGTAGATGGATCAATAATTTCATCACAAACACAGCACAAAGAGTAGTAGTCAACAGAGTAAAGTCTGAGGCGGCTACGGTGAAAAGCTCTGTTCCGCAAGGTACAGTACTCGCTCCCATCTTGTTTCTCATCCTCATATCTGACATAGACAAGGATGTCAGCCACAGCACCATGTCTTCCTTTGCAGATGACACCTGAATTTGCATGACAGTGTCTTCCATTGCAGACTCTGCAAGGCTCCAGGCGAACATCAACCAAATCTTTCAGTGGGCTGCAGAAAACAATATGAAGTTCAATGATGAGAAATTTCAGTTACTCCGATATGGTAAACATGAGGAAATTAAAACTTCATCAGAGTACAAAACAAATTTCTTCCACAAAATAGAGCGAAAAACCAACATCAAAGACCTGGGAGTGATCATGTCAGAGGATCTTGCCTTCAAGGACCATAACATTGTATCAATCGCATCTGCTAGAAAAATGATATAATGGATAATGAGAACCTTCAAAACTAGGGATGCCAAGCCCATGATGGCACTCTTCAGGGTTGGCTCTATCTAGGGCGGAATATTGCGGACACTAACGCACCCCTTTTAAGGCAGGTGAAATTGCTGACCTAGAAAATGTACAGAGAACCTTCACGGCGCGCATAACGGAGATAAAACACCTCAATTACTGGGAGTGCTTGAAGTTCCTGAACCTGTACTCCCTGGAATGCAGGCAGGAGAGATACATGATTATATACACCTGGAAAATCCTAGAGGGACTAGTACCAAGCTTGCACACGAAAATCACCCAACGAAAGCAAAAGACTCGGCAGACGATGCAACATCCCCCCAATGAAAAGCAGGGGTGTCACTATCATGTTAAGAGACAATACAATAAGTGTCAGGGGCCTGAGACTGTTCAACTGCCTCCCAGCATACATAAGGGGGATTACCAATAGACCCCTGGCTGTCTTCAAGCAGGCACTGGACAAGCACCTAAAGTCGGTACCTGACCAGCCGGGCTGTGGCTTGTACGTTGGATTGCATGCAGCCAGCAGTAACAGCCTGGTTGATCAGGCTCTGATCCACCAGGAGGCCTGGTCACAGACCGGGCCGCGGGGCCGCTGAGCCCCAGAACTCCTCCAGGTAAACCTTCAAAACTAGGGACACCAAGCCCATGATGATTCTCTTCAAATCACAAGTTTTCTCTAGGCTGGAATACTACTGTACACTAACTGCCCCCTTCAAGGCAGGCGAAATTGCTGACCTGAAGAGGGTAAAAAGAACTTTCACGGCATGCATAAGTACGATAAGGCACCTAAATTACTGGGAATGATTGAAGGCCCTTGATTTGTACTCCCTAGAATGCAAGCGAGAGAGAGACATGATAATATACATTTGGAAAATCCAAGAGGGATTAGTACCAAACTTGCACATGAAAATCATTCCCTATAAAAGCAAAAGACTTGGCAGGAGATGCAACATTCCTCCAATGAAAAGCAGGGGTGCCACAAGTACACTGAGAGACAACACAATAAGTGTCCAAGGCCCAAGACTGTTCAACTGCCTTCCAGCATACATAAGAGGGATTACCAATAGACCTCTGGCTGCCTTCAAGAAGGCACTGGACAGGCACCTAAAGCCAGTACCTAACCAGCCGGGTTGTGGTTTGTACGTCAGTTTGCGTGCGGCCAGCAGTAACAGCCTGGTTGATCAGACCCTGATCCACCCCGAGGCCTGGTCTCAGACCAAGCCGCAGGAGGGTTGACCCCCAAAACACTCTCTAGGTATGCTCTTAAATGTAAGCACCAGATGAGCCTGGCCCAAGGCTGGACTCTGGGAGTAGAAAAACTCTCAGTACTCATCAAGGGTATTCAGTGGGAAGCACCAAACTCATAAGGGGTCATGCAATGTCTAGGGAATGGGAGAGAAAGTTTAAACCATAGTTCCTCAGATCAAATGCATTCAGCATCAAGATAACCCCATAAAGGGTAAATATAATCACAGTCCTTAAAAACTATTGATGCTTATTGTCTTTCAGTGTTGTATTATTGGCACCCTTCAAGGGAAGTGTATTGATATCAGTGAAGGGCTTCTGATTCAAAGAATTCGACCTCCCCTCCACTTCCTCAGATAAAGATTGATTATCCCTCATTCCCCAAATACTGCATGATCCCAATTAGTTTAGCACTTTCCCATGATTAATGTAAAAATAAACATGTTCAAGAAAAGCAGTAAAAATAATGGGTTAAAAAGACAAGCAGTTGAGTATTTTATACATACATATCACCCAACACTGGGCTTTTCCAAGTACAGTGGAACCTCGGTTTTCGTGACTAATCCGTTCAAAAATGTCTAACAAAAACCCAAATTGTACAAAAATTGAAGTAATATTTCCCATAAGAAACAATGTAAATCCAATAATCCATTCCAGACACCCAAAAATATTAACAAAAAACATACATTTTATAGAGAATAACTATAGTTTTACATACAAACTAGGGCATACGAAAACTGAGGTTTGACTACACACAGTAAATATGAGACAACAGCTTAAATACAGGCCAAAGAAAGTTGTCACATGCTTAGTTGTCATATGTTAAAGTATGTAAAGATACTAGAGTCCAGTTTGAGCACTGCAGGAGGTCTACTGGCCCACACTTGGGTTAAGATACGTGCTATGGGAGTGAAAAAAGTAAACATCACATTGTTTTGTTTGATGGTGCTGATTAATTTAATAACTAATGATTCTAGCTGTTATCTTCTCAGTTTGTCTTGTTTCTGGCACAACAGTTCAGCTTTGTCCCACTCAAGGCATAGGAACTGCAGCCCAGTGGCCTCCACCAGCCAGAGGGCCTCCAGAGATTAAGTGAAAAGTTAGTTTAATATGTTTATTATGC